AAATCTAGGGGTAAATTCAAGTAGTTAGGGGAAATCCAGAACACGTCTAGGGTATTTCGTGTCTATACCAACGAAGAGTATTTACAAATCAACATTATTTTGTAGAGTGACGTACACAGCTTTATATCGCACTATATTTTGATTTCCTCTCTCTCTCTTTTAGTGAATGATTGACAAGGATACTTAACTTAATGACAATCGGCAGTAATTATGCTATTTCAACTCGTATCCGACCGTTTTCACTTGCTATTTAATTAAAGGCCGTTTTGCGAGACCGGAAAGCGGAACGGAAAGCGGGATGACAGTTCTTGTGCCTTCAAGCCTTCGAGAGAGCGGCTGTTATCATTGCTATTGTTGTTACTTTTGTTTTGCTTTTTGTATTCTTTGGTATCGATGTTGTTGTTATCCAAACTATTGTTGTTGCCGATACTATTATTATTATTGTCTATCGTTATCACTATCATTATTATTATGATTGCCTGTTTGGATATGATTAATTTTTATATCCTTATCCTTATTTTTATTGTACTCTAGCTATTGTTGTTATCATTATCATTATCGTTATCCTTGTCAGTGTCGTTATGATAATAATAATAATATAATAATGATAATAATAATTATTATTACTATTATTATTATTATCATTATCAGTTTTACCATTACTTTATCATTATTATAATTGTTATTATTATTATTATTATTATTTATTATTATTAATTATTTATTATTATTATTATTTTTGTTGTTGTTGTTGTTGTTGTATTATTGTTATTATAATTATTATCAATGTTATTATTATTATTATTATTATTATTATTATTATTATTATTATTATTATTATTATTATTATTATTATTATTATTATTATTATTATTATTATTATTATTATCATCATCATCATCATTATTATTATCATTGTTAGTATTACCAATATCAGTGTTATTACTATTAATGATAATTTTGGTAGTATTATTGGTGTTATTATTGACTTTATTATGCTTTTGTAATTTTCCTGATTGTTATTGTTAAAATCAATATTATCTTGTTATCATTTAATCCTAAAGAGAAGTTTATTCCTGATCTTTATTGGTGAATGGAATTTATTTTTTATATTACTGATTACTTTTACTATATATTTTTTCATATGTCATTATTTGCATTGCTGACCTTACTACTGATGTTGTTTTATTGTTGTTGATAATAATGGTAACATTGATAAAAATAATAGTGCCAGTAAAATGAAAGATAAAGATAAGATGTGATATTGATAGTAGCAATGCTAATGATTATAGCAGCGCTGATACTAATAATAGGTTAACGGTAATATTGATAATGATAGTAATAAGGATGATATTGATGATGATTATGACAATGATAATGATAATGATAATAATATTGATAATAAGGATGATGATGATGACGATGATTATTATTATCATGATTATGATAATGATGATAATGACAATAATAGTAATGATAATAATAATGATGATAATAATAGTAATAATAATAATAGTAATAATAATAATGATAATAATGATAATGATGATAATAATGATAATGATAATAGTCATGATAATAATAGTAATGTAAATAATAATGATAATGATAATGATAATTATATTGATAATGACAATAATGATAATTATATTGATAATGACAATAATGATAATGATGGTAATCATAGTAATGATAATAACTACAACAATGATAATACTAATTGTAATAATAATAATAATAATAATAATGATAATAATAATAATAATAATAATAATAATAATAATAATAATAATAATAATAATAATGTTGATAATGATGATAATGCCAATGATAATGATGAAAATGTTGATAATGATAATGATCACGATAATAGTAACATTAATAATAGTAATTCAGTAATGAGGATAAAATATTAGTAATCATGAGAATGATGATAAAGCCAATGATGATTTTACTGATAATGAAAATAGTAATGATAATAATGAGAAAGATGATGGTTATTATAAAGATAATTGTAGTAATGATTATAAAGTAATATCAGTGATTATTGTAATAATAGTTTTATTACTATAATCATTGCTATCTTTATATTATGATATGATTATAGCAATGATATGTTATTATATAATAATGTTAATAATGATAATAATAATGACTATGTGGATGATATGGTTAACGGTTTGGCTAATAATTACAAGGATGGATAAAAATAAGAAGGATAATAATAGGAAGGATAAGAAGTGATAACTATTATAATTATAGTGATCTACAATCCTGGTGGCGGCGATGATGGAAGTAGTGAAAATGATGTCATTATTTGTTATCAATACGTAAAATACGATTGATAAATCTACTTTTTTTTATGCAACCCATTAATAGCGGGAGGAAAACAGCAATCGCGGTTTTTCACAACTGTTTCGTAATCTCATAAATACAGTGATTAACACAATCTTTCAGGTTTACGTTTGATATTTTCCTCTTGTTTCTTCTCTGCGCGGGTTGTGGCGAGAAAATGTAGCGATGTCTCGGATGTTCTCTTTTTTTATGCTATTTGATGTCATCTTAATATCATCATTTGGTAAAGGTCTCTTAAGATCTACAATGATTTTCTTTTCGAGTTTTATGAGGTCTTTTATCGATGTTTTTATACATATATCATGAATGGAAAAAAATAGTCTACCGTATTGATACTATGGTAAGAAAATCCACAATGCACAAACTATATTTACTGAAATAAACGACCCAACAGTTTCGGAATCCTCCTGGAAACCATCATCAAGTCTGAAGAAGGATTCCAAGAGGACTGAGAATCTGTTATCTTATTCCAGGTACAGATTCTTATATTTCCGCGTTCATTTAAAAGTGAATAAAACGCCAGCTGGAATTAGCGGACGTACAGGACTAGTCAGAGAAGAGTCCAGTACCTGCCGATCGTGGGTGTCCTGTGACCCTCGCCGATAAAGGTCACACTTATTTGTCAAAATAAATTGTCCCCTGATACGGGCGGATCAAACGGAAACTGCCATCACATGGTCCAGGTTGAGAGAGGGAGAGGGAGAGGGAGAGGGAGAGGGAGAGGGAGGGAGAGGGAGAGGGAGAGGGAGAAGGGGAGGGAAAGGGAAAGGGAAAGGGAAAGGGAGAGGAGAGGGAGAGAGAGGGCGAGAGAGAGAGAGAGAGAGAGAGAGAGAGAGAGAGAGAGAGAGAGAGAGAGAGAGGCTAAAGAATGGAGAAAGAAAAGGATGAAGATAAAAAAAAAAAAAAACAAAAAAACAAGCGAACGAGAAAGAGAAAGTGAAGGAGAAGAAAAAAAACCAACAGAGAGAATGACAAAATGAAAATGAAAAAGTAAGAGAAAGAGAAAAGGGTGGATATCAAAAATGGAGAAAACGATAACACGAAAAATAGAGAAAGAGAGAAAAAAGAAAGAGAAAGAGAGAGAAAGAGAAAGAGAGAAAAAAAGAAAGAGAATGAGAGAGAAAGGTAAAGAAATAGAAAGAGAAAAATAGGAAGAGACAGCGAGAGAAAGAGAAAGAGAGAGAAAGAGAAGGAGAAAGAAAGAAAGAGAGAGAGAGAGAGAAAGAGCAAAGACGCCGCCAGAAGACGCGAGAGCTTAGGGCGGGGCCGCCAAGGTGACAGGTCTGGTGACGTGTATGTTGACGGCTACCTACACCTAACGTCATGGCATATCTCTCTCGACAGATTTGTTAAGAGATCTTATCTCATACACTTGAATAGTGAGAGAGTATTTGACACTCTGTTTCATAATCAAAGGAGTCGTTTTTGATTCGTGGGATAGTCAAAATCTGCGTATTTCTTCGTATATGGTATTTCATCAGTATTTTTATATGTGAATGAAAATACTAATAGTGTTAGTTTGGGCAGGGCTGCGTCGGTATCATAAAGTGAGTACCGTTATCTACCTTATCTCTTATCGGGAAGCTGTGTGGAAAGCCACTACCGCTCTGCTGTTGACACGTGATAAGACCGTTCTAACGCTCAATAGTTTCACCTCAAGTACGGCCTCTGCTTCCGGACACTTGGCAAATATGCATTTATTTCCATTCACGTACAAAACACGGACGGCAACGAAAACACCGAAACACCACACAAAAGCACACACACACACACACACACACACATACACACGCGCACACACACACACACAAACACAAAACACAAACACATTCACCACCGCTAAGGCTTTCATATACACACACACACACACACACAAACACATTTTCCAACACAAAAGCGTTCACACACACACACACACACACACACACACACACACACGCACACACACACATACACACACGCATACACACACACGCGAGCACACCAGCGCCTCGCACGTGAGCAAAGATTAAGGATCCGAGCAGCAGAAGGCGGTGGTCCGACGGCCTCCTGCAGTCATCTTTAAGAGCATCGATTCATAACGACAACACAACGACGAAAACGACGAAAACGACGACGACGACGACGACGACGACGACGACGACGACGAGGTGGTTCTCCTGTCCTTCGCAATCCTCAACTTCGTCGCATTCCTTCGAATTGGAATTATCGTCATTTTTTCTCCCTCTTTCATTCGGTGTGGAAAAGAATGGAAATGAATTATAAGCGTGACCTGTAACTTTGATTGAAATTATTTGATCTTCGATATAATAGGGTTTCGGGATTTATTTATGTTTTATATGGTGTTCGGTAAAAATGTTAATGTTATTATGAAGTTAATACTGATATGCAAATGCAAAAAAAGTTAAGTGGTCTGATGCACGAGGTCTACTTTTTATGCAAATCATGATAGACACACGGACATAAAAATGCACAAAAAGAGCAATATTACAGGTCGTGAAAAATACTATGAATAATAATTCATGAAATTCATATGTATCACATGCATATATCTAACACGTTGTCTACATTTCTCTCCCCCTCCCTCCCTCCCTCTCCCCTGCCCCCTCCACCGCCCATCTCGAAACGCAACGCCCGCAGAGGTGATGAAACCGGTGGGAGTGGAGGTGTGCGAGGGCTGCGGGCGGAACATCCAGGACCGTTTCATAATGAGAGTGATCGACACCTCCTGGCACGAGGACTGCCTGGTGTGCTGCGTGTGTCGAGTCCAGCTCCAGCACTCGTGTTTCGCCCGAGACAACAAGATCTACTGCAAGCTCGACTATGACAGGTAAGGAAAAGGACTTATTATTTTTTTTTACTCGAGTGTCTGTTAGTTGTCATTATTTTCATTATGGCTGTTTCCCGTTTTTTGACATGGTTATTGAATTATCATAATGATGACAGGAAAGGTGATAACTATATGCGTTATGATGATAGTAGTGACAATGGTGATATTGATGATGATTCTTATTATTGTCAGTAATTTAGCATTATTATTCAATATTGATCATGTTCCCTTTTAGTGATTTTTTTTTCTAATTGAGCCATCCGATCTGGAGTGACAAATTAAATACTCGTGTATATACAGGCACTTATTACAAGTATTTCATACTTCATACAAATATTTTCCGATATTTGATATATGTTCACATTTTTTTCCAAAAGAGAAAAAAAGAAAGAAGGAAAGAGATAATCTTAGCTAGTTTTATCGCTGTCAGAAAAAAAAAATCGCACCAGGAAAGGAAAAATAGTGTTCTTCTTCGCATTTCCGTCCACGCTGTTTGCCAGACCGGCGGTGTCGCGTTGGCACGATCAACCAGCATCGACTCCGATATCAAAGCGAAGCATTAAAAACGAGGCTGTGCCAGAGCGGCTAATTGTGCGGGGAAGCATTATGATTATCGCTTGTTTATATGCGCATCTATAGTGTTTCATTATCGTCTATGAGCTTCGCGGTATCGTGTATTTTAAAGTCGTCTATATGAAAACGAATTTCACTTTCACAGGAGGCCTATATTAATTTTTTTTGAAGTATTACTGTTTACACGCCGTATATAGTCTACATGTATGCATACACACGCATGCATATCTCTGCATTTGTGATAATGCAACCCGTTGTCAGTGCGTATGCACGTTCGTACGTAAAGATAGTGATAATAATAACGCAGGAATGAAGAGTTACATGGCTAGGCAACAAAGGTACTATCAGTATCAAGGAATTATATCATGAGAGTTGTAATTTTTTTTTCTCTTTATCCTCTTTGTCATTCCTTTGCTCTCCCTCACTCCTTTCTTGTTTCCTCCTTGTTTAAAGACGGAGGAATTTACGATTTTTCTTTTAAAATTTGATTGCCAATTGGGATAGATGGCATGAAGAACTGTTATACGTATAAGCAATGGTGGTTACAAAGTAAAATGGATTAGAGTGTGTTAGATGTGTTGATATTAGTAATTATATTATTCCTATTCCTCCTTCACTTTCTCTTCTTATTCCCATTCCTTCCACCTCCTTTTCTTCTTCTCCTCCTCCTCCTCCTCCTAATGATATAACATTAATACTAATAATATTAGCGATGATAATGTTGATAATGATTATTATAAGAATGTCAGGAATGATAACCATGAAAATATAATAATAATAATTAAAATAAAAAAAATATTGTATTGTGTTATAATCACCAATATTCGTATCATTGTCATAGTTAAAGAACAAAAGTAATAAGCATGAAGATTATTATATTGCTAGTCCAATAATGACGAAAATGTTACTACTACTACCACTAATGATAATAAGGACATTAAGATGATAATGATACCGGTAATAGTGGGAATAAAGGCGACCAGATCCAGGGACAACCCCCGGGTGCCGACAGCGAAGATATCACTGTCGGTATCAGAAACAACTCCACAAATCTCACTGAACTTCCATCTCCACAATACGTGTATGATTTTGCTTAAGAAATTTATCTTCTGTAACATATCTGTGACTATATTCCAACACGGCAAGCAAGACCAGACTCAATAATAAACATTGATATAATTATGTTGATCTTTTCTCTTACACGACACCAGGGAAGCGTCTGTGTTCGGGGCAGCTTAGGCAAGCTCTGTTAATTCTAATGATTTGCTTGAAATTTCGTATCGTATCACAATATCGTCATTTTTATAGGCGTTAATTCCCCCCTCCTGCGTGCCTCTGCTGTGCGTCGCTTTTCGATTTTATTTTCGATGATAATAATTATGATAATCATAATTGTTATTATTATTGTTGTTTTAGTTGTTCTTCTTCTTGGCGTGATCCAAGACGTATGGAAATGAGTCCACGTCTTGTAGGTCAATAACATGTATTAGAAGTTCTATGTCTCAGAATCCACTCGACCGATTTCCTTCAAACTGTAAACATTGACAAAAAGTGATTTTATTTCGCGTCCCGAAGCAGCAAGCTTTTCCGATTTCATATTCCGCCACAGAAGTTTCTCGGGCAAGACACAGAATGATAGTATGTATAATAGTAAAAATGATAGTAATGCTAGTAAGTATAATGATGATAGTAATGTTGGTAATCATACTGAAGATAGTAGTGCTAGTAAGAATAATGATAGTAATGCTAATACGAAATAATATGATAACGGAAATAATAATAACATTTATGATAATATGATAATATCTAAATTGATGATGATTACAGTGATCATGCTGATGATAATGGCAGTGATGATTATAATAATGATGGTAATATTGATAATGGCAATAACGGCGATGATAATGATCATACATTTATGACTACTATAATAGTAACGATAATGCTAACAATAGTAATAAAAAATAATGGTAATGATTAATAGTGACTAGACATTAAAATCTATTGGCCTACTTTTTCTAATCTACTAGTGCTTCAGGTGGGAAGAGCGATAATAACCATGATGTTCAAGATTTATTGTAAAAAAATATTGAGAAATGTGTAATTTCTACAAAGCAAGAGAAATCATTTCATGTTTGATAAGATTTAACCACTGTTTTTCAGTAATGATATTAGTACTATCAACTGTTGTATTGGTAACTATAATGCTGATAATAATCACAATAAAGATTACAATATTAATTACAGTCATCATAATTAATGATAACATTAAATATGACAGACCTGTTAGGCTAATGATAAATTAAAATAATCACATATTAATGTCACTTCTACCCTTATCATTATTTTCTTAATCATAGAAAGATTCCTCATTTTTTGAATCATGAAATCAACTGCTACTTGCAACATCGCTGTACTCATAATATTCCATTTTTATCAACGTTTTTGCATTCGTTAGTGATATTATTCTTATTGACGATTTTGCTCTGATTTCTTTCGCTTTTCGCCTTTAGTCCTTCTCCCTTTCTTAGTCTTTCGCTATTCGTCTCTCTCCCTCGCCCTTAGTTTTTCGTCTTTTTTTCATAGTGTTGTTACGCTTATTTGCACAATTACTGCTATAATTACTATTAGATTTGGTTATAGGTATTTTCTATTTGGTGATAATTGTCATTGTTGTTATTGTTGTTCTTGTTAATATTGTTGTTCCTGTTATTGTTGCTATTATTATTATTATTATTATTATTATTATTATTATTATTATTATTATTATTATTATTATTATTATTGTTATTATTGTTATTATCATTATTATTATTATTATTATTATTATTATTATCATTATTTTATTATTATTATTATTGTTATTATTATATTATTTATTATTGTTATTATTATTTAATTATTATTATTTGTTATTATCATTATTATTATTATATTATTATATTATCTATTATTATTGATGTTATCATTATTATTATTACCATCCTTTTATTATTACCATTATCATTAAAGTTATCATTATTGTTATTATTATAATTATAATTTTTACTGCTATCATTATTACCATTATTGCTATTAGTAGTAATACTGTTATCATCATTATTACTATTATTGCCATTGCTGTTATTATTATTTTATCGTTTTTATTATTGTTATTGTTATTATTACTGCTATTATTACTGTTCTCATTATTATCAATTATTATTATTGTTATTGCTGTTATTATTATCATGCTACTACTACTATTACTATCATTGTTAATTATTATTATTGTTATTATTATTATTACCATTATTTTCATCATAATCACCATTGCCATAACCATCCTTATTGTTATTATTATCATTACTGTTATTTTTATAGTTATTATTATTAATATTATTAATTCTATCATTATTATTATTTTGTTATCATTATTGATATTGTTACTATTATTATTATTACTATTATTATTGCTGTTGTTATTATTATTATTTTTATAATAGCGCTATTATTATTATTATTTCTATCATTATCATATTGACTACTTGTTATTATTATCACAGTCACCGTTGTTATTATTTTTGTTTATTTTCATTATTACTGTTTCCTTTTAACTTCCATTTTAAGATTATAAGAAATATCTAGAAATAAGGACAAAAAATATCATCGTTATTTTTTCGTTCGATTTTCCTAATATCTTCAGTCGCAGTAACACTTTTGTTTTTAATTTCCATTTTATTTTTTATGAGAAATATCTAGAAATAAGGATTAAAAATTATGGGAAATATGAGAAATACCTGGAAATAAGGACATCAAATACCATTAATACAATATCATCGCTATTTTTTCGTGTGATTTTCCTAATATCTTAAAGTCATATAACTGATCATTTGCCTTACTGAATTTGACGGAACCATCGACACAGCCTTATCGATATCGGCCGATAAGCAAGGTGTGGATCCGTGATAGCACATAAGATTTGTGGAGAGATACAGATAGAGAGAGAGAGAGAGAGAGAGAGAGAGAGAGAGAGAGAGAGAGAGAGAGAGAGAGAGAGAGAGAGAGAGAGAGAGAAGAGAGAGAGAGAAGAGAAGAGAGAGAGAGAGAGAGAGAAAGAGAGAAAGAGAGAGAGAGAGAGGAAGAGAGAGAGAGAGAGAGAGCTAAGAGGGAAGAAGAGAAGAGAGAGAGATACTGTTAAGAGCGAGGAAAAATGATAGAAACAAAAGCGTATGAGAGAGAGAGAGAGAGAGAGAGAGAGAGAGAGAGAGAGAAGAGAGAGAGAGAGAGAGAGAGAGAGAGAGAGAGAGAGAGGAGAGAGAAAGAGAGAGAGAGAAGAGAGAGAGGAGAGAGAAGAGAAGAAGAGAGAGAGAGGAAGAGAGAGAGAGAGAGAGAGAGCTAAGAGGGAGAAAGAGAAGGAGAGAGATACTGTTAAGAGCGAGGAAAAA